AATCAATATTTAAAATTTTATTAAAAATTTTAAAATATGCAGGCAAATTTGCCTGTGTTACAATCTAAGGGATAGGTAATTATAGCAGTTGAAGAGTTTGAGTTGCCAAAAAATCTTTAAGACCACTTGAGGAGAGCAATAAGTGATATAAATAATAAGTCTTCAGGATTTTTGAAACACGATGATGTTGAAGAATATTATAAAAAAATTGATAAGCAACTTAATGAGTTTAAAGAGTTTGATAAAAAAGTTTTGAAGATCAATGATTTTATTTATATGTTGGATTTAGCAATCTCACTAATTAAGGAATTGAAAAATATGAATCTAAAAAGTCCTGATGATAGTTTAAATGAAATTGACTTAATTGATAAGATTGATCAAAATTTACTTAAATGGGTTAAAGATTATGCTAAAATTGCTAAAAAATTTAATAATAGGCAATTTTATGAAGGCTTTAGCATTTTCAATAAAAATAATGATCTTGTTATCTTTAATATTCAAGAAGAATTATTAACAGAAGTCGATGATATTAGAAAACACTTGACTAAAAAGTCTAAAGAGTTGGACAATATATGGTATTTAAATAAAGAAAATATCAAAAAAGTAAGAATCTGCAATAAATTTTTATAATATAATATTTATATATTTACAGAATATTTTTTATTTTACAAATAAATTTCATCGTATTATTCGATTAAAATCAGTGTATGATTTAACTATTGAATTGGATATATAAGAAGTAGATTAAAGCTTTTTGATCCAATCTTCATTCAAAGAATATCAGGTTCATTTTGTGATTTATATTTTTGAAAATATTTGATATTTATTATTTACTTATTTAAATTTTTATAATACTATCACTATAGATTTTTGTGAAAAACTTACTTATGAATTGAAGCAAAATAATGATTTAATAAAAATTTTTAGAGAAAGTAAATCATATGTAAAAGATTATTGTTTGAATTGTATTGTAGAAAATTGCTTAGAAATAGGTTGCTTGGTTAATAATTTTTGTAGATATATTATAACAAAAACATATGATAAAATTGAATTTGAAAGAATGAAGAAAAAGTTTAAAGAGACAAAAAATACAAAAAAGGCAAAAAATATTTAAATAAATGCTAGCTAATGACTAGTAGCCTCACTATGAAATTATATTACTAACAAATGAAAGATAGTACATAAACCACTTTTAAATGCACTATAGTTATGAATTTAATATTATAAATTATTATTAGAAATAAATGTAGTATCTAGTAAAACGATTTTTAGATATATTTTATATTATACAATAATTATTTCAATAGTCAGCTTATAAATTATCAGATTTTTACCTTCAAAGATATTTAAATATTGATTTCTACCAATTTATATATTTTTTATTTACAAAAAAGTACATCACTTTGTCTCTTTATGATAGTGTTATTATTATTCAAATTCAAAGAATTGTTGGTATGCTTTTTTACAATTTAGAATGATAGTACATTAAGGTTATTGATTAAATATAAAATAATGTGAAAATATTGGCCTTAATGATTTCAAATAATTATCAAATACTATATGTATAGTTAATAAAATAAATATATATTGTACTGATTATACAAAAAATTTTTTATACAAGAAAGCTTTTATATAGCTTATCTAAACCATATTTTAACAGAATGATAAACTATCAATAGAGATTCATTTTTAGGGGTAAGTATCTCATAATTTTGGGGTCATATAAATTAACTAATAAGAATGCTCGATTTTGTTTATTAATGGACAAAATTGAGCATTCTTATTGGTTAATTACACGATTCTAAAATCATAAGATACCCTACTCTTAAAAGTTAAATAAGTTTTGTTAACCATATACAGTCAAACCCTCTATAGTCACACCTTCAAGATATAAAAAACCATGATTGTAAAGAGGTGTGACTAATATAGAGCTATTTTCTATATAGTTATAAATAATTGATAAAAATAAATTTGTAATTATACCAATTTTGTGACTATAGAGGAGGTGACTATAGAGGAATTTGACTGTATATTATTGAAATTACTGTAGTAATATCTCTACACTCTCTATTTATATATAAAATATTATATATTTTTGCTATAATAATTTACATACAAGACAGTTGGTGAAATGCAAAGTAAAAGTTTCAGTCAGAAATAGATGTAATGCATTGCCATATCTATAGAAATTTAAAATACAATAAACTCTATAAATACTTTGATTATCTAAAGAATTTTCAGGCTAAGTAGCATATTTCGAATTAAAAAATTTTAGCCATACAACAGGTTATACTCCAGATGATCATGTGATAATCCTACAATTATTCAGTTAACTTTCTAAATTACTGAAAGATATATCAGAAATGATAATAATACTAGTGTTATAGAACAGTTTATTATTTTATTAGTTTATTATTTCGATATTGTATTTTATTATTTATTTTATTAATATTAATTAGTCTTATTTAGTTATTATTATTAGAGTAGAATTTAGCGATTATTAGCGATTATTAGCAATTACGCTTAACGCTTAACGATTAGCGATTACGCTTAACGCTTAACGATTAGCGATTACACTTAACGATTAACAATTAGCGATTACGCTTAACGATTAATGATTAGCGATTACGCTTAATGATTAACGATTAGCGATTACGATTAGCGATTAACGATTAGTGATTAACGATTAATGATTAGCAATTACACTTTATGCTTAGCACTAAGTAAATTACGCTTAGCTGCAACGATTAGCGATTAGCTCTAAAGAT